GGGTGGCTATCTCCATGATATGGTTAAAAAAAGGCATAGGCCAACCTCACACAAATTTATATCATGCCACCTGCCATGGGTCTGAAATTCCATCATGGTAGCTATTTCCTTCCATCTGGGCAATGGCCTCTGAAGATCACTACAAAAAGCACACCAAAAAAGTACATTTCAACACATTGGTGAAGGTCCTAATCTGGCATTCTGGCCCCGTAGAGATGGGGCTGGGACTCAAGATGAGTAAATTTTGATAGGAGTGGGGATGTGAAAGTGCCAGAGGCATACAATGGGAAGCATGGGTAGCAGAAAGACATGAGGACCATGGAAAGGGGAAAAGACACCAAATGGCTTATGGGACCACTGAGAATGTCACTATGCCACCTGTGGTTTAGGGAGCTAAAAAGTACGTTCAATTCTAACTTTTCCAGTTCATCTTCATATTGACTCTACTTGGCTCTTATACCCTCTAGTTCAGGCTTGCTTCTTCCCAGGAGCAACTGCATACTTGGGCAGAGAGGTGGAGTGCTGGCCTCAGGGACTAGGTAGTTTGAACAGCAACACCCAGGATCTCAATGACAGGCCAAGAGGCTCTGTCTCTGACCAGGACTGTTATGACATCAGCTACAGTTCTCCATCCTGGGTTGGGGCCAAGGAAATGAGTATCTAAGCGTATGCTCTGCAGATAACGGGGACTCTGGGGGCCTTTTAGGTGGTCCAAGAGTCCACCCAGAATCCATCATCCAAAACTATGTGTCTGGTTTGTGTTTTAATTATAATCTCTGAGAAGATATGAATTTATATTTAAAAGTACAAAGAAATGAATGTTTTTTAAAGCATAACAATTTTCATGATTATTCACTCAAAAATATGTGTGAATATTATATATAAATTCTTCTTTTCTTTCCATTGCCAAAAGAGGCCAATGAGATGTGTGGGGCCTGGCATCTCTGAGCTCTATCTGGCCTGAACAATCTGAAGGCCACTAATGTGGACGTTATATTTGCAGGACTGGCCACACTCCTAAACTTGACTCATGTTTTGGCATCATGGCTGCACGAGTCCTCTGTCTAACCTGGTCTGCCTCTTAACCATGTTCAGGCTGTTTCTGCCCCCCAAAGAGCAGAGAAGTAAGAACTTGGTTCCCCCCCACTTTATCCTAAATATTACTGTGATGTCAGGGAAACAATATTACTACCTACGTCTCTCTGGACCTCAGCTACTACCCTTCCCAACCTTTCCTCCTCCAAATTATGGGGAAACTTCCATCATTATGATGAAAAAAAACTGGGAATGGGAGGGAGAATTCGGAATGGGGAGACTGTGCTAGGCAAGCGGAAAGTACCGGGAGGGGCTCTGTAAATGCTCCATCTCTGAGAGGGTGACTTTGTGGGTGGGAGGAGAAGGAGCTGAAGGGTGGTAATTAGCTTATTATTGTCTCCCCTGGGTGTTGTGAGAATTCCTTAGGAGACACTTGTAAAAAAGCCCAGGGAAGACAGTAAATACACATCTAATGATATGCTAAATAAATTATTATTGTTATTATTATGATTATTATAGCAATTGCAACTTGCTCCTTGCATTCAAGTTTCCACTAGAGATGGGAGTTGGTCCCCTTACAGCCTGGCCTCCACTGCTGTCAATATGCCCCAGACTCCCCCACCCTCCGGAATCAGTGGAGTAATTGGTAGTGTGGACCAGTCTTTAGTTAACAGCAGTCCGGGGTCTGCAGAAGGGGAGCACATAAGGAGCTCCGTATTCGCGCACACAAGGCCTCTGCCTGGTGCCTGCTCTAGTAAAGCAAAGCAGGAAAAGGGCTTTGCCGAGAATGGCAGGGTTTATACCTGGAGAGGAGCTTCTTGACTCCCAAGCAAGGGGACTCAGGGAGGGCAAAAGCAAAATCAGACAACTGGGCACGGGTCACGGGAAGAAAGGGAAATTAGACAGTTAGGAATACTCAGCCCAGATGTCCTGTGCTTCCCCGGCAAGCCCAGTAACTGTGAACAACACTGAGTGTGTGCATTTTGCTGGGGAGAGAGCAGATTGTTTTTATCAGTTCTCAAAGGGGTCTGGAATCCAGAAACAGCTAAGAGTCATTCAGCCCAGGTAAAGGAACCCAAAATCTCTGGGCTCAAAATGTATAGCCAGTGTCTCTTCATTCCCTGCCTTTGGCCAAGGACAATTGTTACCTGAACCCCAAAGGAGGTTAGAAGGTTGTTTGGAAGGTTCAGAGGTTTACAGCACCCCTTCCACACACCCTCCCCCCTCCCATCCCCCCCCCCCCCCCATGACACCTGCCTTAGTCCCACTTAAGCAAACATATGTAAATGCTGGCCGCTCATTTCCCCACCCTACATTTCTTTAGGGAAAGCAACCACGGTCCCTGTGTGCGTTAGGTGTTGGGGGGAGGGGAAGAGAGAGTTGGGTGTCTGAGGAGGAAACTCAAAGGCTGGGGGACCGAAATGAGATCCACATTTAACTTAGCTCCCTCTCCGGACCTCAGTCCCTCACCCAGCACAGGGTAGGTTGCCTCAAAGGGTCCTTAGGGGAAAATTTGGGAAGGCCTGCTCCGTTCAAAGCCTTGTTGGGAAAGGGGAAGGCTGACCCTTCCCTGCAACCTGGGATCCTACTAGATGGGGAAACTCAGAACCTGTCAATCTCACCTGTCACTGACAATGACTGCCTGTCCCCAAACTCCTGGAAGCAACTATGCTACTGGGACCAAAGTGTGGGGGGCAAAGATGAGGAGGATAAAAAATAACTTTATGAAACAACCTAATTAAGGGGCATGACTAGATTAGAAAATGTGTGAGCTTTTTAACGTTAAAAAAATTTAAACATTAATTCTGCTCCATTTGGTAAGTATCCCTGGAGCAGAGCAGGGCAGAGAGAGAGGCCTTTTCCCACAGCCAGGCTGGCTGTCTCTGCTCATATATTTTTATTTGTGTACTTTTTAATGGACCAAGTGGTGGTTCCTCTTTGGGCGCCACAGGCCTACAGAGGGCTTCTTCCCAGCCCAAGTCTGGGCTCTGGCTTAGTTTTCATATACTTGAGAGTCTGGGGAGCCAGGAGACTGGGGGTGGGGGGCAGCACTTGCCTTGCCTCCTCTCCCATTTCCTGGCTCCTGGTACCTCCCTCCACCCGCCAACTCAGGCCAGACGAGCTCTAGGCCTGCAGAGCCTGCCACAGCCCGCCGCCATGTTAGCCCCAGCCTGGCTCTGGCCCTGGGACCCGGATACCTGCTACCCCGCTGTGGCTGAGGAGGGCGAGACTCTCTGCCAAAAGCTTTTCAAATTAATTGCCACTCAGTTTGCTTCAACAAGTATGTAGTGGGCGACTCCTCTGTGCCAGGCAGCAGAGAGAGTCCCTGTCCTGGAGAGCCAGTCCGGGGGGGCAGAGGTGTGTGGAGGGTGGCCCTTGGCATTCTTTCCCCAGCATCCGAGAGACTGAAGCTGGCCGCCCAGCGTGAGCGCAGGGAAATCTTTCGCACAGACCATTCACAAAGATACCTGTGACTCCTTGGTTTAAAAAAAATAATGAACTTGGGTTGGGTGTGTCGTGCCCCTCCCAGGGTTGGTGTGGGGGGGGGGGGAAGGATTATGGAGCCTTAGCCCAGGGGTGCCTGGAAGAGGGCTGGCGGGAGAGAGCCGTGTAGATGTGAGTGAGAGAGGAGAGCGCTAGACGTTCAGCTCCATGCTCCCTGCTCTTTAAAGTCAAAGAGCATAAAAGCCCAGGGCAGAGATGTTAGGGAGCTGGAGGAGCCCCAATATACCCAGAGGGGAGGGAACCCCAATTTCAGGAGCAACAGAGCAGTGGCCCCGTGGAGCAGGTTAGGCCCCTGTGAGGAAGGCCTCCTGAAACCCTCATCAGAACATGCCCCATACTAGAAAATGTACCCCTCAGTCCACCAGGCTCCCAGTCCCAGCGCACACTCGCCAGAGGCCCCGGAGGCCCAGGTGAAAGCAAGCTTTACTTGGCAACATTACCTTGGTGTTTTGGCTGTGTTATCCGAGGGCAGCAGTGGGGAAAGTGCACCCTGCTCCCTGCCTTTCCTTCCTAAATCTCTTCACCTCTGAAGCCCACTTTTTAAGACCCTAAAATTAGGGTTCAAGAAAAAATGCACAAGGAATTCGGGAGGGGCTAGGGGATCGCTGACCTTCAGTGCATTAAAAGCCGACTGGAGGCCGCTCCCTCCCTCCGTGGAGGGTGTCTCTGGGTTGTAGGACTGTTCACGCCTACCCTTCCATGAGACCCGCACCCACTCCCTTCTGCCGCTAGGCTAGCCCCTGACAAAACCGGTTTGGGCCTCGGCCTCCAGTGGGTGTTTACCAGGTGTTTGCCCTTTCCTCACCGTCTATCGGTTCCTGCTGAGCCCCAGGCACTCTCCATTCCCCTCCTCTCCTAGCGGCTTCCTGTGCTCTGTTTACCCTTTTGTAACTCCATCCCTCCACTAGTCAGAACTCTGCTAGCTGTCTTCCTAGATGGCCCATGCAGCTCTCCAGTTGGCCCTCTGGAAATACTTCCGTGAATAAGTCTCTCCCAGCCCCTCCGTATAAATATGTCTGTACAGAGATAGACTGGCCTAAGCCCCAATTTACACACATCACGAGATAATTACACCCTTATATACATACAGATATCTCTATGGAGTTATATTCGCAAGTGTCTATAACTCTCAAGAGAGATAGCAGCATGTACATATAGGACTATAATTACTTATGTCTATTTTTATAACTATGTAGTTATAAATAGATATGCCTATATATAGTGATAATAATATAGAAATATCTCCATAGCCATATATGGCTTTAAGTGAATGCTCTAACCACTCTATATCACAATCAATAAGTATATATCTCCTGGTATGTAATTCCAACGATATACATTTATCTATATAGCTGCTCAGAGATATAAATCTGTCAGGATATCAAATGTCCATAAAGCTGGATGGCTATAAGAGAGTCGTATATTTTCCCATATATAAATCTGCTCCTGTAACTATTGTATATGCACAAACACAATGGAAATAATTATATTTTCCTCGAGCATAAATCTGTAAATACAACCACAGCACATTTAGGTATGGTTAGAGATAGAGCAATATTTTCTAGGCATCAGTCTGTCAATAGAGCCACCAGTGCTTCCAAACAGAGAGAGTTCTAGTGGGAGTTATAAATAAACTCTCCAGATGTGAACGGATCAGTAGAACTAGCTATAAACACCCGGCTTTTCTTCTTCTTCTTTGTAAGATAATCCTGACGTGAGCGCAGTCACATCTGACAGGGCACAGAGGTGTCTGGCACCGATATTCCCCCCAAGGAGGGTTGAGGTGGCTGGACTCTGGGAAGCCCTGCAGGAGTCAGCAGCCCACAAGCTCCTTCTGTGTCCGTCTCCTGGTGGCCGAGAGCTCGGGCAAGTGGAGAGGCCTAGGGGAGAAAAATGGAGCAGAGACTGGCTTGAGTCACTTTACCCTCCTCTTGGACCCCAAATCCTCGCACTAAAGAAGCCCCAACCTGGCATCCCAGCCAAGAGCAGAAGGGTCCGGAGCTGGGGAGAAGCGGGCTGCAGGCTGGGCTTGGGAGGGAGACGGAGCGAGCGGTGCCCGCCGCCCTAACACCCCATCCCTGGGCCGCTGCCTCGCCTGGCAGCTGCCTGGAACCCAGACCCGGGGCCTCTTCGATCCATGTCCTGCGCTCAGCGGTGTGACCAGTTTTATTTTCTTTTATTGTTACTTTTGCCCGATTGGCTACCGTAGTGTCCTCCACCCCGTGTGGTTTTCAAATTCGAGGATGCCCCGTTCTCTGTGGAATCGGTGTGTGCACTGCTTTCAAAGGAGTGACGCGGTGGGAAGTGTATCTCTCTGTCTCTTTTCTGACCAGATGGGTCACCGGCTGTTGAAAAAGCATCCAAACCTCTGAAAAGGTTTGTGACTTAAATCTTTTTAAAAGTCCTCACGCTCGTTTGTTATGGTGATTTTCTTTTCTTCTCTTATAAAAGTTGGCTAATTTGTGTTTTTATATTTCCTCTTTGATTTTTTTTTGTAGATACAATTGTTGTTAAAGGGGGGATTTCGTTAGACCCGAAACTGTGGGGTGCCTCCCTCCCGGCCAGGGTCATATCTCTACACCTCTGACTCTGTCCTCCCCTAAGTAAATAAATTCATGTAATCATCAGAAAATTGTACCTGGAGAGAGTGAGGCGTCCATGGAAGGATCCGGGACCGTGTCTTCTCTTCCGTTACGGAAATTCGCTCTGTTCTAGCGCGAGCCAAGGAAATTTCAACGGGCCTCCACCCCTTTCTCCTTCTTCTTTTTCCTTTCTCTCTCTCTCTCTCTCTCTCTCTCTCTCTCTCTCTCTCTCTCTCTCTCTCTCTCTCTCTCTCTCTCTCCAAAGACCCTTGGAAGGGAACTTTCGCTGGGCCTACCGGAGCCCTGCCCTTGCTCTCCCCTCTCTCCGCGGCCATAAATTCCACCCCTGCCTGGCCAGCCGCGCTCGTCCTCCAGGGCACCTCCACCTCCCGGCACAATGGGCCCAGCTGTGGTCATTGCCTTATCCATGTCTGTCCCTACATGGTTGGCCTTCTCTTTAAAACAGGGGCTCCAGAAAGTCCCCAAAGCCACCAGCCCTCCCCTGATCACACGAAGCAAAAGCTGGAAAAAAGCAGCAGGAAAGATCGGCCTCCTGGCCTCCCTCAGCTCCTCTGGCTGAAGAACCTTCTCTGGGGGGGTCCCAAACCCAGCCCCCAAGGATATACGAAGAAGCTAACTTCTTTTCCTGTCTTCCCCTCAGATTCTGTGACCATGACCCCTTCCCCATCCCCTCTTTAAAATATCTCCTCTTGCATTTTACTGTTATCCTGCTAGGGAGGGGCTGTTAACTACTGTTTTTATTTATCGTTATTATGATTGTTGTTGGAGATTTGTTCACTGGATTCAGGTACAGCAGCCAGACCCAGAGGGAAGCCTGCTTGTCACAAGCGCACACACACACACACACACACACACACACACACACCCCTAGCAGGTGTGCACACATAGCATATGCCCACAAGTGCCTGTTCCATTCAGGCCCTGCACAACAATTCACAGGAGGCAGACATCCGCCTGCCCCAGCATGCAAACAACACACTGCCGGCGCACACCAGCTTTCAGGCACAAACACCACCCCCAGACCCTGCCAAAACCCACGCGTGAGCGAGGGGAGCTGGTAAGGAAAGGAAAATAAGTGAAACCCACTTGCAAAGATCCCTCCTCTCCCACAACCTGGAAGGGTGAGTCAGGCCCCTGTCTCTTTTCCCCCAGTCTCTCTCTCTTTCTCTTTTTTCTCCTTGTTTACAGCTTCAGAGAGCTCAAGGCCCATAAATCTTGAGGGGCCTACAGAGCGCAGAGCACATTTGTATGCATCGTTAGGACTCGCTAATACCTAAGCCCATTAACGACCGTGTATGCGCGTGGTTTCCGGTGTGTATTAACTTATAGTTAAATTCTGGAGGAAAGGGCATTGTGAATTAACATATACCAAATCCATCACGGGCTTTTGTCATAGATTAGTTGGTCATGGGTTTGGGGGAGCGGGTTGTCTGAGGCGGGGTATACACCCTTCAAGCTCTCTGGAGCAAGCCTGGGGTACAGGGGCAGACAGGACACTCTTACCCCAGCCCCCGGCGTTCAGATGCCCCAGGCCAGCGGCTGCACACCTTCCGGACGGTGGAGTGGCAGGGGGCCCGGTCCAGAAGGCGGTCGCCGGAGGGAGGCCGGCTAGGGGAGGCCCCACCGGCGGCAGGCCCGGGCTGTGCTGGGGCCGCTGGGCCGGTGGCCGCTGGGCCGTCTGCTTTCTGCTTTCCGAGAAAAAACAAAACAAAACAAAACACAAAACGAGAGTGGAAGGAACGGCAAGTGGAGTCGCTGAACTTTAATTAAACCGAGAAGATGGTGGAGAGAGGAAAAACCGATGGGAGCCGGAGGCCGAGAGGCCGAGGAACGGAAGCGAGTCCGGCGGCAGCGCGGGAGCTGGAGACCTCGGCCAGCGGAGAGAGTGGGGCGGCTTTCCTCTCCCGCCCAGCTTCTCGGCTCACACAGGCAGCCAATTCCAGCCCTCTTAGGAAAAAGAAAGAAAGGAAGGAACAGAAGGCGAAGAGAAAGAAAATCCTTCTAGTGATATGGCATGTTTCCGCCAGGTGTTCTGGTTCCAATGACTCGGATCCCGCTGGAACCCCGAGGACCTGCGCAACGGGGCCTGTGCAGACCGGGAGGAAGGATGCCGGGTCTAGGGGGAGGGCGGGGAGGAAGGTCCAGCTCTGGGGTCCTGCAGAAAATGCCAAAGACAAAACAAGCCACATTATTGTGTCCGCGTGGCCCTCGTTGCCTATTTAAATACTGCAAGCAGAGGGGTGGGGATAACCGATCAGGATGGAGCGGGCTTGTGGAGCGAAAATGCACACCCCTGGCCTCTGCTGGCGCAGCTAAGGGGCCTCCTCCGCGAGGCGAGGCGAGGCTCGGCTCGGGCGGCCGCGGCGGCGGGCCTGGGGCCCGGCTGGGGCCCGGCTGGGGGAGGGGAGGCGGGAGCGGGGCGGGCCCTCCCCGGGCGCTGTGAACTTTAGCTGGGCCGCCGCCTGTCAGCCCCAGAAAGCGTTAAAGGTGCAGCAGCCCGCGCCAGCCTCCGCAGCCGCCTTTGTACGCGTGATTTATGACTTCAATCTTGGTTCACCGAGAGTTCACACGGCTTTCGCTGCTGTTGAAGGTTAAAAGATGGTCTTCGCTTGACAAGTGGGACTATTGAAAATTCCTTCTTCTTCGTTTTTGTTTTTTTTAAAGAAGCGAAGAGCGGAGGCTCAGGAGGGAGAGAGAAAAAAATTGGGGGAGGGGGCAGGAGTTGCAGGTGGGGAAAAATGGTAGACCAGGAAAGTTTGCCCCCCCCCCCCATTTAGAAATGGTTGTAGCTAGGATTTGGGAGTGTCTCTTGGGGCAAGGGGTAGAGAATAGGAGGAGCAAGGGAAGGGATTTAAAGACCTCATATTTGGAGGCCAGAAGAGTGGCATTTTTTCAAAAACAGCTCCTGCTTTCACAGTTATCTGGATAACTTGGGTCACACCTAACTGGTGCTCCTCTTGAAACCAGGGAAGGAGAGAGCGCCCGGTGAGGGGCTGGGTGTGTGGTCCCCATGCCCAGCTATGGTGCTTGACAGACAATCCACCTTGCCCGAGAGCAGCTTTTCACACACGTTCCTGTACCCACAGATTTGGAAAAGGGTGTTTTTAGGTGTCAGTGTTCCAACTCCCTTCACCCTGTAGATTTAGCCTGACATGCATATTTGATACACGTGATGAGGCCAATGGGAAAGCAAATCCAGACCCCTTTCCAATGCCAGATCCCCCTGGCCCACGATTTGTTCACTTTTTCCTTCTGGCGTTTGAAGAAGATGGTCAAGGATCTCCTAATGGCCAGAAGATAAGGCCCCTTTGTGGTTTAAGTCCTTAATTATTTGGAAGAACAGGATCTCTCCTCCTTTTTAGGAGGGGGAGAGAGAGAGAGAGAGAGAGAGAGAGAGAGAGAGAGAGAGAGAGAGAGACACGTCCCCCACCCCAGAGGTGAGGATCTTAGCTACTCTTTGAGGTTCCTGTGAGATGTTTTAAAATCTGCTGGAGTGGGAACTGGGGATCATGGGTGTTGGGGAGGGAAGCATAGAAAACTGGTTCTGGTGTTGGACAAGCCTCCCCAGCCCATTCATGGTGTCATGTAGATGCCTTCTCAGGAGGTCAGAGTCAGCCACTCAAACCCAGATCTGGAACCAGCAGCATCCACCAGAGAAGAGGTGCTCTCTGTTTCCCTTCCCACAGAGTTGAAGTGGCCTTCCGCCACAATAGGAGGGCTCCTAGGCAATCCCCATGAGACAGGAGGTGTGCTAGGGAGAAGAGCCAGAAAGGTGGCCACACCTCCCTGGACACCCAGTGTCAGCCCCTCCTGCAGGGTACCCATATATAAATAGCAAAACAGGCAGCAGGGGACAGAGAGACCCCAGAAATCTAGAGTCCAGGTGCTGAGGTCACCTTGGCAGGGATGACCCTCTGGCCTCAGTAGGAACAGAGAGGCAGTGTGGCACTGTGATTAGAAGCTTTTTTGTGGAGGGAGCTGTTAGGGGAATCTGCCAAGAGAGTGAATGAATCTCTTCCAGGTCTAGTTGGGAAGCAGAGGAATGAAGGTAAAGGCCTTTAGAATTAATGGCTGCACTGAAGTCCCCTTCCCACCCCCTCCCACCGTGTTTCTCCCTGAGAAATAATTTCAGTGGACTTGTGCTTATCTGCAAGTCTGGAATAATTATGAATTATTAATGCATAATTAAGACTGTTAATTGTGACCATTGCTCTCCAGTGGGCTGGTTTATTTCCTTCTCTGAGAATTCCTGGGCAGCCTCTGTTAGCCCTTGCCCTCAGAACAAGCAAACTGAGGCCTGGCCCCTCTGGAAAGTAGCCCTTGAACCTGAACCCTATGTGGAATGGTTGCCTCATTACTAGTCAAGTCATGTTGCACCTCATAGAGTATTTGCACTCAATAAACTACCTCCCACTAACTTCAAATTTTAAAGTGTTTCGTAGGCTTGGCTCCTGGGAAGATATAGTGGTACCTGGAAGTGAGACCCCCAACAAGGGAAGCAGTTTGGTCTAGCTCTGTGTGGAGACAGGAATTAAGGCCTGGTGGCAGGACTCCCAGGCAAAATTCTCCAGTGATCTAGGATCAGGGATGGGCATTCTGCCGACCCTGCCCTCAGGACATGCTGATCTCTGCGGACCCCTGAGTACACATCTGGCTCCTTTTCCTGAGGTCCCTTTCCACCCACCCTGCTCTTCTATGGGCGGCAAAGGCTTCAAGATGTACCGTACCCTGGGATGGCTGGAGCTGGGAAGCAGGACCTGCCTGTTGTTTCACATCTGTAACAGCCTAGAGAGGGAGAAAATTGCTCCTATTCTGTGAGACTATAGCCACTTAAATCCCTGCCTACAGCTCACCTCCCCCACTCTGAGACATCTCTGAAACTTCGCTTCATCTCCTCCTCTCCTGCCCTTTGAAAATGCTGTTGGGAAGTTGAAGCAGCTACCCCTAGAGCAGTGGTTCTCAGCCTTGGCTGCACATTAGAATCACCTGGGAATCTTTTTTTTTAAATCCTGATTCCTGGGCCCCATCCTCCGGAAATTCTGTTTCTTTGTTACGGGGTGGGGCCACAACATTAGTAACAAAGAAACAGAATTTCCGGAGGGTGAGGCCCAGCATTCAAGATTTTAAAAAGATTCCCAGGTGATTCTAATGCAGCCAAGGTTGAGAACCACTGCCCTATAGAGAGGTAGAAGTAGGAAATGAGGGAGGGGGTTCAAACCCAATACTTCCCACGAGTTTTACCTCCATTCCTCAAGCCCAGTAAATAACCCTGATGTCAGGGTGTTGCCCCTCCTTCCCCCAACTCTCTCTCTCTCCCCTCCCGGAGGCTGAGGCTGCTCTAAGACTTTAGCTCTAAGAAGATAGGACATTCCGGGAGCCAACCCCCATGGATCTCCCAGTGCCTCTCTGGTTCAGAGCGAAGCCAGTGGCCCAGCCAGCATGTCAGCACTTCATGCCACGGTGGAGTGGTCCATGGAGTCACCTCAACCACCATCCCAAATCTCACTTGCTCTTCCCCTGAGCCACCCCAGCATCCCTGAGTCTCCCCCAAACCAGGACGCGGGTAGGAAGCCCATCCAGAAGATCTCCCATAATTGGAGAGTATATTTTAATTTACTGTTTGGTGGCAAATAAAGAGACCTTGGGAAAAAAGAGAAGGAGCAACTGAGCCTGGCGTCCGCCCCGCCGCCCCTCCTCTGGACATTGGCTTTCTGGACGAAACAGTGCACTGTTGTTCTTGGACAACCATTCCCCATCATCTCAGTTCGAAGGCTTGAGTTTCACCCTCCGTTCACCCCCATTAATCACCCCAGCAGCTAAACATCACCCAGCCCCCTCTGGCCCTTTCTCTTCTTCTTGCCCTTAGTATTCATGGCGGGGCATTCCTCACTGCTGCGTGCCTTACAAAGGCCCCTCCTCCGAAACTAGGTCCCTCCCCCTCTCCAGCTATTCAGTCCACAGTGGGCACTGCTCACCATTCCTGCCCTTCTGCTGCCAGCTCCCCCTCCTAGGCCCCAGTCCCCAGCTTTTACCACAGCCACTACCCCATTCCCTCACCATGCCCTCCTTCAGGCACCTATCTCATCCCCACGCTGCTTCTCATTTGTCTCCCACCACGGCTCTTCCTTGCAAGCCCCATCTACATGCAGCCCCTTTCTACACTCCTCTTTCCCTTCCCTCACCAACACATTCCTAGGCCCTTCAGGTCCTGGCTTTGAAGCACTTCCCTTCCAGCCTTGAGAAACGGAGAGGCAGGGCAGCACAGTGGTGAAAAACATGGCTTTAGGGTTCAAAATCCCAGATGTGTCACTTGCTAGTTGTACAATCTTAGGCAAATTACTTAACCTCTCTGAGTCATCCATAAAATGGACATGCCCACTGACCGTATAGAGTTGTTGTGTAGATGAGATTAAATTTTATTTGCATAGATCCAAGCATTCAGCAGGGGCTTGATAAATGGTAGTTATTAATATTAGAAGCTTCTCATGAGGAGAGAAAAGTATGCTCTTCAGATTCCAACAAAAGTGAAGGCATTGCCTCCTCAACCCCTGAAAGGGAGGGATGAAAATTCCATAGTCCTATGGATCAACAGGGCCCCTTTGCCAGGCAGCCATACTCTTTCATTAGCCCTAGAGATTCTCATTTTTTTTGGTTAATCCTTACCTAAGGATATTTTTTCTGTTGACTTTTTTAGAGATAGTGAAAGGGAGGGGGAGAGACAGAGAGAGAGAAACGTCCATGTGAGAGAGACATATTCATTGGTTGCCTCCCGCCCATGCACTGACCAGGGCCAGGGACCAGGCCTGCAACCCAGGTACGAGGTACAAGGTATGTACTCTTGACCAGAATTGAACATGTCACCCTTCAGTCCGTGGGCCAGAGCTCTAACCACTGATAAAACTGTCCAGGGCTAGAGGTACTCATCTTCTGCTGCACACTGGAACCCCTTGGGCAGATTTTAAAAATACTAACACTTGCCCTAGTCGGTTTGGCTCAGTGAATAGAGCTTGGCTCAGTGGATAGAGCGTCAACCTGTGGACCGAAGGGCCCCAGGTTTGATTCTAGTCAAGGGTACATATCTCAGTTGCAGGCTCAATCCCTGGCCCAGGTCAGGGTGAGTTTAGGAGGCAACCAATCAATGTGTCTCTCTCACATCAGTGTTTCTCTATCTCTCTGTCTCTCCCCTTCCCTTCTACTCTCTCCAAAAGTCAATGGAAAAAATATCCTTGGGTGAGGATTAACAACAAAAATTACTAAGACCTTGTTCCAGATCCTAATTTTGTTGATCTGAAGTAGTGCCCAGGCATCTGCCTTTTTTAAAGCTTCTCAGGTGATGCTAATATGCAGCCAGGGGTTGAGATATGGGCCCTAAGAGG